TCCGAGCTGTCAGCCCAGAGCCCGACACGGGGCTCAAACTCACAAGCCGTGAGATCGTGACCTGAGCCAAGGTCAGATGCTCAACCGACTAAGCCACCCAGGCGCCCCCATCCAGCCTCTTTAAACAGCAGACTTGATTCTTGGGCCACGTATCACACCTGCTCCTTTGGACAGAGCGCGTGTTCTCCAGAGTGCTGCTGTCCCCACCACTCCCTGATGCTTTCCCTCTGCCCCCAGCACTCGTTTACATTTATTTGTGCAGTCCTTTGATGTCAGGTTTGGGACCTCTGCTCTAACCCTTTTTATCTGTGTGTTTTCTGCCCCCGTGTAGGTTTCTACTTGTTCTCCTCTAATCCTTCGGACCCCGTAAGTAGTCACCATGTTTATCCTGTTTCTTCTTCTATTTGGGGCCTATCCCCGCAGACAAGGGGGCCGGCCACATGAGGAAGGTTTCTCAGCACGGCTTACGGCTCCTTGAGGGACGACACTTGAGCTGGTCCCTTCCTTAAGCACTGAAAGGGAATCCCCTTTCCTTGCCTTGAGAGGCAGGCTTCCAGGATCAGATCTGGAACAGATTTGGTGAAGGGACAGTGGAGGGGCGCCAGACGGATGGCGCAGACATGTGATTCTCTAGGAAAACAGTCCCACCGGTTGTCTGCTTCTGCCAGAAGCGCAGAGTTCGAGAAGGCTGGAGGCGGCTGGACTCCGCATTCGCTCACCCCCGCTGCCATCCGTTAGGACTCCTTGGGAGGAGGGAGAGTGGATGGCGAGGGGAGGGGAAGGGAAGGGCGGGCACTCCAGGTGGCCCATCACAGCCTGCCTTCTTTCCCTCCAGTACTTCAGCACCCTGGAGAACAGCATCGTCAGTCTCTTTGTCCTTCTGACCACAGCCAAGTGAGTCTGGCTCTGCGTTGGCTTGGGCCCTCTGCTGGTGCCCCAGGGTCTTCTCTTATCAGCAAGAATATCCCACACCTGAGGGCAGACAGGTGCTCGGGACACTGTGAGGGATGGGGGTGGCCCAATGAGCTCAAAGCTCGTGGACGTGGACGAGAGGAGGGGCAGGTGGGGGTGGGGCTGGCAAGGCAGAAAGGAGAGATGTCCTCCGTGAGGATGGAGAAAGGGAGAAGGCAGCCGCGGGGCCCTGCGGTGATGCTCCGCAAATCCAGTTTCCCAGATGTGATGATGCCCTCCTACTCCCGGAACCCCTGGTCCTGTGTCTTCTTCATCGTCTACCTCTCCATCGAGCTGTACTTCATCATGAACCTGGTGAGTGAGCGTGCGTCGCGCCACTGGAGCAGCCGTTCCAGCCGGCACAGCGCCGGGCACCGCGGGAATGGAGAAGTCCGGCCCGCTGTCGGCCTCCGTCCGGGATGGGGTCCCAGGCTGTGGTCAAGTGTGGTGTGGCAGACGCCCTGGTGGGACTTGAGTTCAGCTGGTTCCCGGTGGGTACCCCTGGGATGATACTGCCGCGGCTCTTAGGCCTGGAGCTAGCCCTTAGGTCAGGGTGCCCTGGGGCCGTTCGTTCTCCAGCAAATGTGTGTCACAACAACTCTAAAAGCTGGCACCAACGAAGCCTTTGCCAGGCACCGGGCAGAGTGCTCCGTACGTGAGGATTAAATGATTTTCCACAAAAATTCTGGAGGTTCTGTTATGATCCTCAGCTTGTAACTGAGGAAACTGAGGGCCAGACTGACAAAGCAACTTGCTCACAGCTGCACAGCTCGGGGTGGCCAGGTGAGCTGGTCCGATCCCAGAGATCTGCCCTTAACCGCTCCCCCTTACTGCACCCACGTGTCTGTTTCCACCCCATTGATCGGGAACCATTAGCAAAGCAATCCAGGACGCATTCTGCTAAGGAGAACGTCAAGTCCCCGCGCACCCTGGGAACTTTGGAGGTGTTTGCGGAGGCCCAGCTGGCCACCAGAAAGCCTCTTCCCATCAGCAGATGGCCCCTAGGATGAGGCCATTAGGTCCGTGTCGAGACCACACGTCAATGGCAGACTGTCGGCAGAGGCTTTTATCAAAGCTTGTATTTATTTGTATACTTCTGAAGAGCATTCCTCCGCCGGCCCAGGGTAGAAATGGAGAGCACCTCCCCTGGGGCAGACTTAGGAAGTCTCCTAAAAACTTGAGATCCTATCTATCTTTATATGTGGTATAGTTCTTATATCCTGTTGTCGGTTTAGAATCATAAAAAGATATTCTGTGTAACTGACTTGTTTTAATTTGTAATATATTTCGAGCTGTGAGAATCTAGGGCACAGGTCAGCAAACTGCAGCCTGCTGGCCAAAGCCAGCCCACCACCGATTTCTATAAATAAAGTTTTATTGGCGCACAGCCATGGCCATTTGTTTGCGCATCATCTGCGGCTGATTTCATGCCACGGCTACAGGGTTGAGTACTTTCAACAGACACCATCTGGCCTTCAGAGCCTAGAACATTTGCTATATGTCCCTCTCCAGGAAAAGTTTGCTGCCCCTCCCTCGATCTAAAGGAGGAAAAAATGGGGGACCAATTTGAAGGGATGGAAAAGACCAGGGAGTGTCCCTCAAGATATTTTCGAGAGAAAAAGAAAGCGTCTCCAAAAAAGCTTTCTTTCAGATCTGATCCCGCCCTCCCGACACAGACTGTGTCGTAAACATTCCAGCCCTGGAATTGGGCAGCCCGGCACTGTTGTGCCCTGGAGGGCAGGCCACCTCACTGCCTGGATTTCTGGGGCTGTGCACGAAGCTGTGACTCACCGGGACTGGGAGGGAGCAAGGGGGCGAGGGAGGACCGTCCTGTGCCGTGATGCTCCTTCTTGCTCCGAGGTTGGGGCGGACAGCGGCTCCCCGGCCATCAGGCTGGGTATAGAATCCAGGGCGCTTCTCTAGCTGTTTTCCCTTAGAACACTGCCCAGCCAGGCGTGGGCTTAGGTGGAGAGAGGCGACCAGGGGAAATACAATGACGTCTTCACGCATCCCAAGAGAGGAGACTTACAAGTGGCCGCGGGTGGCTTCCTCTGCAGACGCCTGGAGACTAACTTCCCGTATCCCCGAGGGGCAGGTGGGAGGGTCCTCTCAAGCCCCCCTTCTGGGGTGGCTGGGAGAGCACCCTCTGGAGGCAGAGGACGAACTCCCCGACTCCTTCAGGCCCTGCCACGCAGGGGAGCCAGGTCCTGTGTTCTTCCCTCACAGCTTCTGGCCGTGGTGTTCGACACCTTCAATGACATTGAGAAACGCAAGTTCAAGTCTCTGCTGCTGCATAAGCGAACCGCCATCCAGCATGCCTACCGCCTGCTCGTCAGCCAACGGGTACGGAGGAGTGGGGGTGGGGCCGGGGAGAGGACCAGTCCCTGTTCTCTCTCGCTGGCCCAGAGTAGCGCCTAAGCACGGCCGGGCCAGCAGCTTTAGAAACCAAGAGTTCTGCCCCTGGGAAAACCCGAAAGAGCCAGATGCCCTGGGATCCCTCGTTGTCCTGGGCGTCCGGAGTGGCTGACCCCAAGGGAAGGGCAGTCTGGGCTCTGTATTTCCCCGTGTTCGCATGGCCCTCTGTCCTCTCCCTGCAGAGGCCCGCCGGCGTCTCCTACAGGCAATTTGAAGGCCTGATGCGCTTCTACAGGCCCCGGATGAGTGCCAGGGAGCGCTATCTGACTTTCAAGGCCCTGAATCAGAGCAACACATCTCTGCTCAGGTAAGAGTGGACGCCAGGTGGGGCGGGGTGTCTGGACAAGGTGTTCACACGAGGGAACTGGGGCAGGCAAGGGCCCCAGGAGGTGGGTGGGCAAAGAAGCTTCTTAGAGACTAGTTTTCTCCACAGAGATTCTTACACATGTAGATGGCATCGTTCATCCGGTTTCTTTTCACAAGTAACGGCAGTCCAACCCAAACCCAGTTCCAGCTGGCGTGACAAAAAAGGAGTGTATTGTCTCGTGAAATGGTCCGGCTCTGCCACTCACTCTCGAGTCCTGAGTGAGGTGGGGTAATCCCATTCGAGCGGAGCCACAGAGCCAGGCGAGCACACACACACACACACACACACACACACACACACGCCCTCTGACCACGGTTCCTGGCAGAACCTCCAGAACTGGCCCTGAGATGTGTGTGGGCAGTCCTGGTCTTCCAGAATGCTGATGATCCGAACCCTTGTTTCCGGGGAAGGAAGCGGGCCAGCTGTAGAAACGCGAGCGGCTGAGCTCTGTTTGGGCTGAACGCAGTCCCAGCTGTTCCATTCAGTCCTCCGCCAGAGGAGGCTCTGTCCCTGGCTATCTAAGAATCCTAGTGACTAAAGCCATCAGTAGTCAGTATAGACCAAGCGGATTCAGTGGGCATGGCACCCAGAGGAAGGAAATCAGCTGCCTGCAGGTAAGGGTCCCTGGGGCACTGAGGTGCTGAAGGTCGCAGGTGTCCCTGCCCCTTTAAAGGTGACCACGGGTGGACGAGGGAGTCCTGAAACTCAGTGGCAGTGGGTTCTGAATTTTTTTTTTTTTTTTTACTTTTCCACGTGGCTTACAACAGCCTGAAGGACTTTTATGATATCTATGAGGTTGCTGCCTTGAAGTGGAAGGTGAGTGTTCGTACGAGACAGAAGACCAGAGAGTGAGCGGGGCTGATTGCTGGGGGGAGGAGGCTGGCCACTGGCGGCCCGACTCCTTCCCGCTGGAGCAGCTCGGCTCTCGGCCTGCCTCCCCACCCCGCAACTGCAGGGCTACAGGTGGCCATCCGTGTGCCCTTACACTTGCCCTGTAGCCTCCCGATTAAGAGCACTGAATCTCAGGTAGACCGCATTAGTTACTGTGTGACATCCGGCAAGTGTTGGAACCTTTCCAAGCCTTGTCCCACCTGGGAAATGGGATAACGATGATCCCTGCGGTTACTTCCAGCATCACATAAAAGGAAGGCACACGCACGGTTCCATTTAAATGCTCAGTAAACTAGCTGTCTTTGTCGTCATTTAGATCCCCGAGTGTTCTCGTTCTTCCCCAAGTTAGCTGGGGAAGCAGGGAAGGAAAGCGGCGTCCTGGTCCCCCAGGGCTGGGTTCTGGTCGCCGGTCCTAACACCCTCTCTCCATGGCCCTGTCTCCTGGCCAGGCAAAGAGAAACAGGGAACATTGGTTCGATGAGCTTCCCAGGACAGCGTTCCTCATCTTCAAAGGTAGGGTTGGCCTGAATGTGACATCTCGGCAGCTGGGGACAGATGGAGGTTTCCAGAGACCACAGACGAGCATCTTAAGAGCATATTCATAAGCTGTATGTGTGTGCGTATGCGTCTGAATGTGTGTGTGTGTGTGTGTACAAGAGACAGTGTGGCTACCCCAGCAGGCAAATAAGTGTTGGACTAGGAAGGAAATCAGTAACTTAAAAACCAGACCAAAAGACCTTTGTGGAATAGTCACTGAAGAACATTTACAAAGTCAGACAAAATGAAAAATTTCCACCTAGAGGTAACCACTGTTCATTTTCTGATGTGTTTCCTTCTGTGTTTGGTTATTTTTCTGTGCGCTTTTTAAAAAAGATGTTTTTATTTAGTTATTTTGAGATCGAGGGAGCGCCCGTGGGGACAGGGGCAGAGAGAAAGGGAGAGAGAATCCCAAGCAGGCTGTGCACTGTCAGCACAGAGCCCAATGCGGGGCTCGAACTCATGAACCTGTGAGATCATGACCTGAGCCGAAGTTGGACATGTAACCGCCTGGGCCACCCAGGCGCCCCTCTGTGTACTTTTTAAAAGGTAGTAGGATTACATTATAGACTCGGTTCCCAACCCTGCCTTTTTACCAAATAATGTATTCTGACCATCCTCCTCACAGGATACGTAGCTGGTGTATGTGATCCCTTACATCATGCTTACATAGCATAAAATTCAAAATTTTAACATCAAAGCGCCCATATTATTGTTGCCCCTTAGTTGAGTGCCACTTTCAAAGATCCAGTTAGCTCACGGGGCATTTCTCGTGCAGAAAGGCTGAGGCCTGGGTATGGGCCATTATGAATGAGAGTAAGGGGGTATGTTCTATTTTGTGACTTCTCCCACAGCTAGGGCTTGGGGCACAGCTGTTATCCCATATCCTGTAGAGGGTTTTCCATCCCATGGGATGATAGCCACTCAAGTGGATGAATAAATGGTCCAGGGTCAAGGCCAGCAGCAGTGAAGGCTCCGTCCTGGCTCCGGGTTGCCCAGGCTCTCCCCAGAGCAGCTGTTGTCGGTGTGGTCTTGCCTGAGCACTAGCGTGGGGTCACTCTGACGGCACACCGTTCCTTCCTCACCCCTGGGCCTAAACACCCTGGTTGCTCACGTGTGTGAAGTGTGCGGTAGTGAATGTGTACTTGGACGTGAAGATTTCGCTATTAACATTTATTCTCTTCAAATAGGAATTAATATCCTTGTGAAGTCCAAGGCCTTCCAGTATTTCATGTGTAAGTGTGAAATACCACAGCTCCGGGCCCCTTCCTGCCTGAGTCTTTTACTGTTCCAGAAGGTGGAGAGGCAAGAGATTAGCCCTGCAGCCATGCTGTTGACTTTTTATTATAGCAAATTCCAAGCATGTATAAAAGTGGGGAGATGACGGTCACCGTGAGCATCCACGGTCACCTGGCTTCAACAGCGGTCCCCCACGGCCAGTCTTTCTGTCCGTCCGTACCCTCACTGTGGCTCTTCGACTCCTCCCCAGACCTGGAGATTTCGGACACAGATTTCAGAACCACAGGATGTGGTCAGTGGCTCTGCCACTTAAGTCTGTCTCAGTCTGTAGGTTTCTCTTCCATCCCCTTTTTCCCTCTTGCGACATTTAGTTGAAGAGACAGGATTGTTTGGCCTTCGGGCTTCTTTTTGTGTATTCCCCGTGTTGCTTGGTTCCTGTAACTATATCTAGATTTGTGTTGTCCAATGTGGTGGCAACTAGCCATGTGTGGCTATTTATATTTAAGCAACTAAAATGAAAAATTCAGTTCCCCAGCCACGGTAGCCACATTTCAAGTGCTCAGCACCACATACAGTTGATGACTACCAATTAGCACAGAGAAGGGAATTTCTGTTGTCACAGGAAGTTCTCTCAGGCAGTACTAGTTGGGAGGTTTGCTTGAACTGAGACTTTCTAAGGAGCTCTGGTTCCATTTAGCGGGAAAGGGTGTTTAGAGACCACAGTTTGAAATGCTAGAAGTGCTCACTGCTTGGAGTTGGTTATTACTTCTAGGCCTTTCCATGGACAGAGATGGGATTTTGTCTTTGAAGATAAACCGTATCCAGAGTTCCGGAGTTTCTCCTGACTTACTTTCTTTCTTTCTTTCTTTTTCTTTCTTTCTTTCTTTCTTTCTTTCTTTTAACTTTTTAACTTTTTAATATTAATTTTTTTATTTTTTATTTTTTAAAATTTACATCCAAATTAGTTAGCATATAGTGTAACAATGATTTCAGGAGTAGATTCCTTAATGCCCCTGACCCATTTAGCCCATCCCCCCTCCCACAACCCCTCCAGCAACACTCAGTTTGTTCTCCATATTAAATTTTTTTTTAATGTTTATTTTTTTGAAAGAGAGAGACAGAGCACGAGTGAGGGAGGGGCAGAGAGAGAGGGAGACACAGGATCTGAAGCAGGCTCCAGGCTCTGAGCTGTCAGCACAGAGCCCGATGCGGGGCTCGAACCCACAAGCCGTGAGATCATGACCTGGGCTGGAGTCGGACACTCAACCGACTGAGCCACCCAGGCTCCCCCTGACATTTCTAATTCAAATTCAGGACTACCGTGTTTTTACTTAACTTCCTCATTCTTTCAAATCCAGATTTCCAGTCTTAAAATCTTGCTTCCCAGCACCATTCACACAATTACTCATTTGCTGTACCCCACGGTAGACTCATAACCATCTCCAGAAAATGATATCAACACTGTCCCAACAACACAGACCCTAGTACGCCACTCCAGGGATAGACATTCAGATTATTGTGCGTCAAGGTCACAGTAGTTCCCCGCCCCCGCCCATGTGGGTATGTCACCAACTGGAGACACATTTAGGTTTCTTTATTTCATTTTATTTTTCATTTTGTTTTATACTTATGTAAAATATCTATGTGGTTCCAAGTCGGACCTATGAAACAAAGTATATTTAAGGACGTCTCATTTATATCCTGCCAACCCCCCCCCCCCAAATGGGTAACTTTTATTTTGGTTTATTCTTCCAGTTTTTAAAAACTCTAAGTAGATGCATATACGTGCCTCTCCCTGTGTCTTAAATAAACAGTCACATACTTGCTACACTTTCTTCCCCACCTTTTCGGCTTTTTTAAAAATATGTTCGGGAGACTGCTTCCCATTGTAATATATAGAGACGTTCCTCATTTCTTTTTAGAGTTGCTACTTCACCATTTCACGAACATGTCATAGTTGATCCCACCAGTTCCCTGTTGGTCATTTAGGTCATTTCTAGACTTTTGCCCTCACAGATACCTCTCCCGCAAATGGCTTGCGGTAACATTGTTTTGGGTTTCGCTAGTGTCTCGCTAGAGTGGATCCCTTGAAGTGGGATTGCGATGTGAAAGATCAAATGAACACGTAATTTTGCTAACTGGTTCCTGTAGCCTTTCTTTTCTTTTCTTTTTTATTTAATTAAAAAAAAATTTTTTTTTTAATTTTTTTTTTTTTCAACGT